AATATCTAGAAGGCATAACCACGTCAAACAGAATTGAAACATATGGTTCGTTCTTGATCCAATGAATTCAGTTTGTTTATACTTACCTCATCATCACCATAGATCACTGGAAACCGCCTTTGGTGCTCCTGCCTCGACTTTTTTGTCTCCGGCGCTACCTCAGCCTCGACCGATGTTTCGCCTCCTGGTGAAATAATATCTGATTTGTTGTAGCCAGGTACAAAGCCCATCTTCTCAATCTAAACTTCCACAGTTGCTGAACAAGACCCGCTTATTAGATAAAAAAGGAGAAGTCAAAGTAAAAAAGTACCTTTTTGAGGAACGTCTTACAGCGATGACTAGTGAGTTCAACATGGAACAGTTCGAAATCTTTCTCAGCTAAGTTCGCAACCGTTTCTGAATGCAAAGCGAACAGCTCTTCATAAGTGGAAAATTGAGGCGTCCTTCGTCAGGCCGAAATATTTGGAGATATGCTGAAAAGAACTTGAATTTGATCTGAAAGGAACTTGAATTTGATTAGAAATGAGAAAAATCGAGGGCTGTCGAAAGCAAAGAGGTGGATCAGCTTCGCGGCCCAGAGCCTGCTCCCTAAGCGGAGGGCTTAACGAGGGGAAGAGGCTCAGATGCTCTGACGCCATTCTCCCCCACGGCACCCCCTCGCCGTCCCCCGCTAATAATGGGCTACTGGGATAGACTAATTAAGTGCCGGAGGTGTTGTTGTGGTTAGCGACACGCTTACCACGCACACGGTCTACAAGTCAGATCCCGGATCAGCCCGCGTTCAGGCCAACTAGGCCTCCTACCGTCTTGGAACGGTTAATTACAATAAGATTCAGAAGTCACCGCAAGTCCGTATAAGCCACACCACATTCAATAAGCTACTACGATCCTGTATGGATGTAGAATGCGTGCCGCATCACCAAAAAGGTGTTGCGGTGAATACTTCATTCTTTTTCTTTATCTTTTTTCAATAAAAAGTATATAATTCTCAAAACCTCATGCAATTAAAAAACCCACTTCATCTGTATGTGCTGGTATCAACACCATCGGCTTGCAGTCTTCGATTTGCTTGGCTAATGCATTTTTATCATCTTCGTTCATTATACTACCGTAATCTTCATACCAGGTACGATAAATCAAATATGACGCAGTGTCCTGAACAACTTCAATGGTGCTCCAACACCAGTCACTACA